ATGAATTACTAACGCACTAGGATCACGAATTCTCAAGCAACACCCGTTCACATTTAATTATGCAAATTTGACACACATTCCCACAATTGATGAATCAATATTCCTATCTTAATTTAGTAATCTCTCTCGAGCAATGCCAAACCTATCCCAATATGTGATTCGACTATATCTCTATGACGAATACTAGCATACAGGAATGCATTATGATTTTACGAATATTCAACAATTCACACGAGACATAGAGGTATATTTCTATCCCCTATCAGATTCTATGATGATTTATACCAACAATTCACACGAGACATAGAGGTATATTTCTATCCCCTATCGGATCCTATGATGATTTATACCATGTCGAGCCTATTTTCCTTCTTTTGAATGCATAAAACAGGCCACCAAAATCATATAATTACGTGCACAATAATAATATGGAAATAAAAAAGTATAAATCATTCAATTCCGGAACATGTGCTTAAATATGTCAAATCTCCAAATCAAAAATCAAAAGTAGTATTGCAAGGTTCATCGATCTCCTAGTACATGAAAAATCTAGCCTAACATGCTAAAAAGAAGAAAATACAAAAATAGTTGAAGAAACGTCATCACCCGAATCAAGTTTCAATCAATTCTTCAATTGGCGCGATATTTTCCTCTTGTTCTCTCTTCATTTTCTCCTTCAAAATCTCTATTTTTCTTCTAAAAATGGTGTCCCCTTCATTCTGGTCAAGTTTTTGTTTATATAGGACTCTAAAAATCTTGTTTCCATAAGAGTTTCGACGAAATAAGGAAATTGCAAATTCGGCCTCCAAATTGCTCTAGGCGATCGCATAGTACATCTCTATGCGGTCGTATAGAGTAAAAATTTTTGAGAATTTATTCTCGGGTGGCCTCTATGCGGCCGCATAGAGGGAAAGTTGCATAGTGCTACCAATTATGGAAAAGTCCATTTTGGTCTTTGAAGTTTCATTCTTCTTCATTTTAGTCCCTTTGCAATTCCTTTTTTTTCCTATCATCTTGTATCGCGTTTGAGTTCATACTGAGCATATTTGCATTCTCGGGTTGCTTTTTAGTTCAACTTTGAATATTTGCATCATTAATCCTTGAACTATTACTTTGCTCCATTTTAGTCTTTTTTCGGCTCTTTTCTCCTGAATTCCACAATTTCCATAGAAATACCTACATTACATGAATTCAACAAGATTAAGTCACAATTTAAACATTTTGCTCATAATTAAGTCATGTTTGTGACCTAAATAAGTGTGCAAAAATACACTTATCAAACCCCCCAAACTTGGACTATTATTTGTCATCAAACAAGATAGTGACTTAATTCTGAACAAACATAGTTTAATACCCTGCCGTGGCTCAGGATTGGACTAAGTATTTGACTTTATTAAAATTTATCAGTGCAAAAATGGCATCAACTTTTACCTGTTAAATGCATACTTGACGTGTGTGTGTGTGAGTTTATGCCAACATATCAAATTCATGATGGGTTGAGTCCCGACCCCAAGTGGTCAAATGTATCCTTACTCGCTCGAGAGATACACAATCTCCCAAACTTATTCTTTTCACTCAATTATCCCGGGGTTGTGTTTTAAAATTAGGAATTTACATAGCTGTAGTCCTCACCCTCTAGTAGTTTGGATTGATCTCATTATCACAAGTTTACATTTCAACAAGTGAAGGCTCTCCCAAGTTTGATTGCTTTGACACTCAAGATTAAAATATGTTACTCACCTTGCCTCAAAGGTATAGTTTCCTCAACCAAATGTCCAAGGGCTTTTCTTCATGTTATTGTCTCACTTTTGTGTTTCTCACTTTCCAATTTTTTTTATCATCATCTCATTTGCTTTCTATAGAACCCATGTAACGAGGTTTAGGCCGGTGACTCCCAAACCAATTGACTTTAGGGTACCAGGTTTTAAACCCTTGCAGGCTTATTTACTCGAGTTATAAAGGCCCAATTAGATGACTTTTTATTAACCTCTTTTCCTCTTGCTTTCTAAATGACCCCTTTAGCGAGCTTTAGGCCAGTGACTCCCAGGCCAGTTGACCTTAGGGTACCAGATTCTGAAATATACTTGCAGGCTTACTTGCTCGAGTCATAAAGGCATGAAAAGAAGTGTCTTATTCTCACAAATTAATTTTACGTCCTTATTATTCTAGACATTTAGTTTCCAAAACCAACCCCCAATTTAAGATTTTTGCCTAATCTTCTCCTCATTGGTCTAGGCACTCCACACAATAGAATTTCATGCACGGAGCCCCCGCTTATCTCAATGCTCCCTATAATAACTCAAGCAAATCCAAACTGTCTCAAGGTGATTTACGTGTTAATTCAATAGAGGGTTATCATTCTTTTCCTACTTTATGCTCAAAATCCAGTCATTCACCTAACATGT